CAAAGGAACCAACTGGCAGTGACCTCTTATTTTCTGGAACACAACCACAAACTGTCAAAGTTTCTGTACGATCGGCTTCCAGCAAACAGACGCCTAACCGAAGACGAGTCGGGCACATGTCAGGCCCTGCTGAGATATGGAACGCCGTCATCTGATGTGCGGCAGTTTGTGGCGGTTGAATTCGGAAAGATTCTTACCACCAAGTGTATGCACAACTACTGCAGGAAGCGTCGACGGGTTATGTTGAGTAGGTGCCGCATGGTTGGGTTTTAATGTAGCAGATGATATACCTTCGGTCCTGGCAAAATTTCGGGAGACCGGACAAGTCCTTGTGTGTCAGGCAGAGGAAGGTCACTATAGCCACATATGTTTCTCCCGATGGCAGCAGATAGCGTTATTCCGACGCTTTCCGGATTTAGTAAATGTAGACGGGACACATGCAACAAACCACCTTGGGTAAGTTTTTTAAAGCATCTAATATTTGGCATTTAGATATAAATTATACACAGTCTTGATAACGGACGGCATGGGAACCGGGCGTCCGGTATATATGCGTTCGTAGAGAGCGAGCAGTTTACTGCCATGCGTAAACTGTTCGGCTTATTCAAAGGAATGATGGATGAAGCCTACCCGATCGGGACCTTTGTAATGGACAAGTTGGCGACTCAATGCGTGCGGCAAGAGTCGTTTTCGGCCGTGACATTATGCCTTGCTACTTTTATGTCCACAAAACCATCAGGAAGCACGTATTTATCATTTATTATCCACGTATTTTTGGTCATGAACACATTCTGCGAACAGCCTGCACATATTTTACCGCATGGCTCTCCTAGACAATGCTGTACTGTTGGTTTTATGTTCATCATATTACAAGGAAACAGATTCCGACAAGAATTTCTGCTTCTATGCCGAACCGTTCCCCCCTTTCTCTGCTATCTTACGGCTCGGTGGTTATACTTCATTCGAAAATGGGCCATACACTCACAGTCCGGAATGTTTCATTTCGGTACTGTAACCTACAACCGAGTTGAGAATGCAAACGGGCGCCTTGGAGGTCGGGTGCACCACTCAGACACGTTGGAGCATGCCATTTAAAATGTGTTTCGGCACGCCAAGTGGCTCATGCGGGAGTTTGAGATATATACGAGGTACCACTGCGACAGGCGGCAAATCTTGGAGGATGACGCCTACGTTCTAAACGTAGTCTGTCGAATGACAACATATGCATGCTCTCTCCTTTTGAGGCACTTGGGTGCGCGACCGCCGCGGCTGCCGCGGCTGCCGCGGCTGCCGTATGAGTGTCGGAACAAACGAGGTGAGGTCGAGCTACGTAAACTAACTTATGGTTTGTGGTGCAAACACCCAGGTGCTGCCAGACTGTCAACACCTGTCCTGGAGAATGCATATGCCCATTCTATCAGGCGATGTGGCTCTCCGGCGTACACCTGTTCACTGTATTTCGAGATCATTTCGTTCCGAGCAGTAAGAACTATTCCTCATTCCTTAGCTTGCCTTCCAATCCACCAGCGCTGGCTGTCAAATTGCAACCTACCGGGAAAAGGTGTACCCCTTACACTTGTTCCCAAACCATCCCCGACAGTTTTCGACGGTCTTCGTAAACAACTGAATCGGGTGATGGATAGGCTTCAGTGGCTGGAACTTAGGAGAGCCACCGCAATACTTAAGAGGTTGATTGTTCAGGGACAAAACCTGCTGCGTGAAGCCTCAAAGTCTGCAACCGACGACCTGTCGTTGGTGGTCGAGGATACTGCACGTCAACCCGGATGGCGGTCTTGGAACGCGGACTTCGGATTCTGTGTGCTCTGTGACCGGCCTACTACTACTCTTGAGAGGTGCAGTAAACAGGCATGCGAAATAACCGCTGAAGATGGCATTGTG